AATTATTTGGGCGAAGTATGCTTATGAATCAACGGATCTTGATTATCAGTGTCGTGATAAAAAAGTATTTGAGATTTTTTTTTTTTTTTATGTTGTCAGGGTCCTAGAATGGTTCGTGACGTTTTTCGGCTCGCGAAAAAAAATTCACCTGCGATAGTTTTCATCGACGAGGTAGATGCAATTGCTACCGCCAGGTTTGATGCTCAAAGGGTAGCCGATCGGGAAGTCCAACGAATTCTCTTGGAATTGTTGAATCAGGTTCGGTTCTAAAATGGCATATTCCTTTCTCGTATAAATTTCGGGTTTGCGTATTCAAATTATTTCAAATTATTCGTTGCGTTCTATTTTGATTTTGTCCTCTGTGCAGATGGATGGATTTGACCAGACGGTTAATGTGAAGGTTATAATGGCAACAAATCGGGCCGACACGTTAGATCCTGCGCTTCTTCGTCCAGGTAGACTTGATGGTAGAATCGAGTTCCCTTTGCCAGACAGAAGGCAAAAAAGGCTCGTTTTTCAGGTGAAGAAATTTCACGACTTTAAAAAATTATTCTGCATCGAGATAAAAACATATATTTGAATTTTTATATCCGTTTTTTTTTTTTTTTTTTTTTTTTATGTAGGTTTGCACTGCGAAAATGAATCTAAGTGATGAGGTGGATTTAGAGGATTATGTGTCTCGACCGGATAAAATTAGCGCGGCTGAGGTTAGTAGAATTATTAGATTATTTTTATCGTGGACCGTTTTGCGTGTTACGTTGTTTGATAAATGTTGATATTGTTTGTGTGTTACAGATATCAGGTATATGCCAAGAAGCAGGGATGCGTGCAGCAAGAAAGAATCGGTATGTGATACTAGCAAAAGATTTCGAAAAGGGTTACACATCTAATGTAAAGATGCCCGACATTCAGTTTGATTTCTACAATTGATCGATCTATCTGTAACACGATTTTTTTTGTAAATGAAACTGAATTTTGTGCTCGATTTTTTCTCGCTATACTGAAAAATGGTTTGTTCTAGAATGTCATCTGTAGTTGCTTTGCATAAAAAAGGAAGAAG